CTAGCCATGTCCCTTTGTGGCTAGTGCTCCATCCTCTGAGAAGGCCAGGATGGTAAACCAATTACACAATTTCTGATGATAGCAATTCTGCAAATTAGTATGAAGTACCCGTCTTGGAACATCTGCTCTGTTTTTTGAACAGGAGTCCCTCCTCCTGCTAAACAATGTAAACATAATCCTGCAAATAAATGTCTCGTTTCCATCGATGATTTTCTTCAGTCTTCCGACTGGCTGATTATTATCGTACCAATCGATGGTTGCTCTGGAATGCACTTGAGGGTCATGAGTCAAAAGCAAAATCTTTCCCTCAGCACTGGCAGAGGCACCAAGAAGAGAGAGGCTAACAGGTTGAGGAGGTTCAGAGAACCGGTGGGTAGGCGACTGATTAAACGTCATCTGGGCATGAGGTCAAGATTCCCCGAGTCTAATTCGAGGCGACGGGGACCACCTGGGCGGGATTATGTCGCCAGATGGCACCTGATGGCTCCTCTCGCTCTTGGTCTTGCTTTATCACTCCACTCGCCTCAGTGGGAACATGACAGCATGTCCGCGTGTCACCGGGGGTATTGTGCGCGGGGCGCTTTGTAGCCACAAATCTTGTTAAGGAAGGCCGGCGGGAACAGTTGGCACGTCGGAGACTTTGAGCTGCCAGAAGAACTTGAAAGACAAACCACATGGTGCCCTCGTGGACCTCCATTTCCCCATCGTGTACCTGAACTGAATGTCCAAGTTTTCGGATTCTGGACCTCGGAGTTGACTTTCATACCAATATTGGACTTCCGTTTTGACTTTGGGTCTCCATATTGATTTAGTTACACCACTGGTGGACCACCATGTCAGCTTTGTGACTTAGCCTAGACTTCCTTTCTGACACTGGACCTCCACATTGATTTTGGTCTCTGAACTAGGCCTCCGTATTGACTTTACGATGCCTACTGGACCTTCTTATTGACTTGGGGCCTTTTGCTGGACATCCACACTAGATTTTTGTACCGAAACTAAACCCTCAGATTGACTCTGGGACTCAAAGTAGACCTTTTCATTGATGACCTTTGGTAGGCAAGGCAAGTTTATTTGTACAAGCATCATTGATACAGGTTACGGTGGATGGTAAATCCAAAATGTAAAAAAAAAAAAAAAAAGAAAAAAAGAAAAATGAGGATTAAAAACCAGACTGATCTAACAAATCAAAATGAACACGAGATCCCCAAATAACAGCAAGATGAATGAAAAGATTCAAATAAAACTTAGCGAGTTAAAATAACAAAAAAAGCACAAGCGTGAAAATAATTTTTTTAATATATTTGGCATTGATGGGGAAAAAAAAGGTACTTAGATGACCACAACTCCGTCTTGGCATTGGACTTCCAAATTGATTGTATTTTTTTGTACTTCAATTTTGTCATTGCTGTATGGGACAGTTTGAATTCAATCAATCAATGAATCCAGTTTTTTTAAAGAGCATGTTTCATGCAACAAAAGAGCTCAAAGTGCTCTGGAAACGCATTCCTGTTCAAATGCATTCAAACGAGTCCACCCGTTGTTGGCAAGTTTTTCTTCTGCAATGTTGTTCACAGAGTGTCCTCTTGTTGATGTTTGTGTGTCGGCACCGAAGCATAGATGTTCTCATAGTCCCCATGGGGGCGCTGCAATGAGACATGAAAAGATCAGAAAACGCAGCAGCTCGGTCATACCGTATTCATCTAGCTGGCTATCTAGCTACCTTGCTTTCTAGCTTGATATCTAGCCAGCTATTGAGCTAGCTATCTAGCTGACGACCCAGCTATCTAGCTACCTTGCCTTCTAGCTTGCTATCTAGCCAGCTATTGAGCTAGCTATTTAGCTTGCTTCCCAGCTAGCTAGCTACTTTGCGTTCTAGCTTGCTATCTAGCCAGCTATCTCGCTAGCTATCTAGCTTGTGTCGCAGCTAGCTATCTCGCCGTATATCTGTGTGTGTGTGTGTGTGTGTGTGTTGTGTGTATACAGTATATATATATATATATACATATATATATATGTGTGTGTGTGTGTGTATATGTCAAGTACTTTTGTCAAGGCATAAAATGCATGTTCGGTGGTGCCGATAAAAGGGCCAATGGACGATGTCACAATGTATTATTTTGTGTTAAAATGGTCTTGCACGATATGTCTTTGATTTGCCTTAGCTTGATTAAATAGCAATTTATTTCATTTGATTTCGTTTCTAGTCAAAGAGGAGCCAGAGCCCGAGGTCCGCATGGTGAATGGCAAACCGAAAAAGATCCGCAAGCCCCGGACCATCTATTCGAGCTATCAGCTCGCCGCTTTGCAGAGGCGCTTCCAAAAGGCGCAGTACCTCGCTCTGCCCGAGAGAGCCGAACTCGCGGCCCAACTGGGCCTGACCAGAGTCAAGATCTGTGCTTGTACCTCATGCAGAGAGCCAGTAGGATCACCAGGATTAGGAGCACAAGCGTCACACTCAACCTGATGACGTTGGTTCTTAATGTCGCTGATGTTGCTACAAATTGCAAAGGCGGCAGTCAAGTCACACGCACGCCTCCTAAAAAGGTCGGGATGTAGGCTTTTTGGTGTAAAATTTCAGAAGCAACCTTCACAGGTGAATTGGATCGAACCATCCAATTTAACTCACTTAACAGCACCCAGCAGTGTTGAAGGTAGTGTGTATTTAAATTGACCACATAAGGTCTGCTAGCTCAATGCTAATGCATCATGAGAAATCCCATTGACGAGCTAATGAGTATCAACTGCGCGGCCATGTTGTAATACTTCAGTCTCAGCAGCATTTTACAAACAGTGCAACAGCACATGGAGACAAGACACGCTGGGATATATTCGACATCCTGTCGGGTTTCTGCCGTTGGGTTAGCGTGGCTGCTTCAGGTCAGAGTCAACCTAGCTCCGTAAATGGTTTGAAATTTTGACTTCGAGACTGGCGCTACAATTCCACATTGATTTGCATATCGCAGAATAGATTTCAAAGTCTTGCAGCTGGTCCTGGAGTTGTCTGGGACAGGTCTTGTGTGTCTTCCCAGAACCAGAACCAAACAAAGTGAAGCGGCGTTTCGTTTCCATGCTCCTCGGCTGTGGCACAATTATTTGTCGCTTCTAAAGATTTTGTTTTCTCTTTCTGGAATGCTTCGAACGATTTCTGTCAAGCTCTTTGAATTGTCTTGGACACGAAATGCGCGATGCAAATAAACTTGCCTCACCTCGCCCTTAAAATGGACTCGGTACTGACTTGGGTGGACATTGGTACTCACACATGACGTCTAGAAAGACCGGTGAAGAGTCGACGTGCCCATATTTATTCTGGGCCTTGCAGTAGAAGCTTCCGGCATCCCGTGTGCGGATGGAGATGAGACGGTAATGTCTTTCCGGTCCCTGGAGCACAACGTGGTTGTCTTTGTACAATATGTAGCTAGCGGCCGGGTTAGCGTCACTGTTGCAAGTCAGATTCACCGACTGTCCCTCGTCTGCGACGTTGGATGGACTCACCCGCAGGGAGGAGAACCTTGGAGCATCTGAAGAGCACAGTGTCGCTCATTTGAAACAGATTCTTGTGTCTGAAGCTCACTTGTACAGTCTTGGACAGATCCCCCCAAAAAACAACACTTACATAAGTCAAGGTACCACTGAACTCACATTTTACGTCAATCACAACAGGTTCTGACGTCTTCTTCCCCAGCTCGTTGTCCACAGTGCAAAAATACTCGGCGGAGTCCGAAGACTTGATGGATCTGAAGACCAGCACTGGTCCACTTGTCATGATTTGGCGGCGTGAGGGTCTGATCTGTTTGTACCAACGGTGTTCAGCGAAACTGCTGTCACTGATGCAGCTCAGATTCAGCGGAGCACCCTCCAAGATGTCACCAGAGTCGCTCAGCGACACCGAGGGGGCTCTCAGAGCATCTGGATGAGGGAGGGGTGGGAGTGGACGAGAAGGTAAATGTCACAGGTTTGCCGAGCACAGGAACCAATCACATGATTTATTGTTCACGCTGGGGCCCGGACGATGGAGCCCTCAAAATTCCGCCGAGCGGCAAATGACCAAGAGAGTTGTGCACTCTCTCCCGAAAGTGTCAATTTATCCAGGAAACTCACACAGGCGAGGAGAGCTACTGAGCGGATGCCCTTCTACGTCGCAGGTGACGTAGTCTCCGGGATTTAAAATGAGTTCCAGATGTTTGGCGGCGTGGAGAGGGGAGCAGCGAGCCAGCGGGTCCCCATTCCGCCGCCAGCAGAAAGACAAATCGTCTGACGGTCTGCAGCCCGTGTGGCACGACAACCGAGCGACCGTGTGAGAATCCTCCACTTTGACGGCGTTCACCCGCACCGTCGCAGCTGCGGGCAAGAGAAGAAGACCGTTTGCATGCCGCGTAGGGCTTAAGTCTGGAGAGACGTAACGTAAAGACCAGATCAAAGTACGCGCAGTTGTATTTCGTCTATCGAGAACGAATGAAGATCATGTTTGGAAATACGATTTTGCAGCGTTCTGTACCTGTGACTGTCAAATTGGTTCCCGGTAGACTATTGGTCCATTCAAAATCTCGCGCGGTGAATTTGAAGCGATACTCAGCGGAATCGCTCTCGGTCACGTTCTGGATTCTCAGAGTGGAATGTCCGTCAAATTCTGGAGGGAACTCAACGCGAGCGTGGTACTGCTCTTCCAACCGGAGGTCCTGAGGGACGGAGGCATCCGCCCACACGTGTTTGTGATCCGGTCGGTACCAGAATTTGGACCTGAGCTCATCGTAGCTGCTATAAGTGCAGTTGAGGTCCACGGACGAGCCTTTGAGGGCGCAGATGCTCCCTTTGTGGTAATGCACCTTGTTGCAAGAGCGGGACACACCTGAGAGATGGAAGCAGCACTGAAGCATTAGCATGAAGCTAAGTGCTACAAGTCGGCGCGGCCGGACTCGACTCACACATCGGAGGAGATGCAAGCTGCCGGTGCCCTTTGATTGCACAGGAGTAGCTGTTTTTCGAGCCGGATGTCGGAGTGTATACTTTGAAGTTTTCATCGGGGACTTCCTCTCCGTTCTCGTACCAGATGTATGAAGTGGAAGAGCCCAGACTGCACTTGCTGACGCAACTCAGAGATTGTTCATCGGGTGTATGCCACTGGACGCTGAGATCTGGATTTGTGAGGAAGAAGCAGAGGTCGTGTCTAGAGACGCATCGAGTTGAGAATGGAATGCGTCGACGTCGCCACATTCAATATGGCGCGACGACGGCGTATGTTATGACGGCGAGATGCGCTCTGGGGAACATTTAACGTCTCCGGTTTCAATGAGAATCGGTACCGGTGACCGTGAGACTGACTCCCGGCGTGACCGTGTAGCTTCCTCCACTCAGTCGGTTTGTCACGAATCTGAACTTGTACACGCCCGAGTCGCTCGCCCTCAGCTCGGCGATTGACAAAGTGCACCAGTTGCCGTGACAGTCACCGTGCAGACGACCGGCGTACTGCGGGTCCGACCTCAGATCTTCAGGCTGACGGTCGCGTTCTTTGGTAAACCACAAGGTCTTCTCAACGCTCACGTCTTGGCCGTTTATCGTGGGCGGGTACGTGAAGAAGCAGCGGAGGTCCACCGTTGCTCCTGTCAGGGCGCAAACCTTCTTCCAAGGGTAAGTCCCTCCCCAGGACCTGCCCTCCGGAGCCCGGACCACTGGAACACACGAGATCACTGGCGTGGTTAATGGACTCCCGTGGGAGGAAACAGAACAGAGATGCCCGTGCCCGTGTAGGTCGCGGTCATCCGTCAAGGTTGATCGGAGGTAACTGGCAAATATGACGATGACGACGGCCCTCGGGAGAGTCCGGTTGCCTCCGTTCATCGGACCACAAGAAGGATGATGCAATGTGAATCGCATTTGCTGAGCGAGCGGGATCAAATGGTGATATGGCTCCCTGGCTGCTCAGCTCTTGATTGCAATCGGCGAACGGATGTTTGAAACAGCAGGAAGTCGGTCGACGATAGCGACGAGTTTGAATCTCGGGTCAGGTCGGGGAGCGTGCGCGGCAGCTCCTGATATCAGTCGATCTGTGATGTGCGATTTCACCAATCGGGTCGCCTCAAGAAGCGACTTGTTTGAATCCAAGACAGTCCTTTTGGTACCCGAGTGTTTTTCCTCAGGGACACGGTTTAAAAAAAAAAAAGGAGTCCGTATCTGAAGTGAACATCGCTGACCTCAGACAAAGAACCCAAAACGTGGCCCGACACTCGATCCGCGCAGCGCAAGGTCCGAATGAAACAGGAATGCGAAACCCAGCCCACAACGGGTCCGCGATCGTCGGCGGCAAGTCATCGCGAATCCTCAGAATGAAACGGTCGGCGGAAATCTCCACACTTGGAGCGAGGAACTCGGTGACAGCGACTGAACGAGGTGGGAACGACAAGGCATCCCTGAGGCACCCCCGAATGACATGGCGAACGGCTCCGAACAATGTCACCCAAAGGGGACAAATATCCCGGTGCCAAATGCAGACCTTTTCTGCCAAATTGATAAATAAAATACCCACTTGGGCTGCCAAGAACCTTTGTCGGAATTTACTTTGGCATTCGACCGAATACCCGAAGCGCAAAGACGCTTTGGATCTTTTGCCTATTGGGTAGACCGCAAATACCTTGTGGCTGAAATGTCAACGTTGAACTTCTCTTTCATATGACAGTAGACAGGAAGTCAGCGACCTTCATGAAAACGCCGGTGGATGTTTCGGGTGATTTTGGAAGAGAGACGCGGTCTCTCTTCCAAAACCACCTGCGGAAAGTTGCGCAAAACTAAAGCCAAAGTCGAAGACACACCACCGCTTGAGTAAATTCCAAATGTGCGAGACGTCGCCGAGTTGTACCTTGTACGCCGAAGAGCAAAATGAAAAAGCCTCCCCGTGCGGTCCAACTCATACTGGCTGCTCACGTTTCACCGGCTCGGCGGGTGGATGTGAACCAGATGGAGAAAACGAGACGCCGCTGAGCAAGCGCAGACCGCCTTCCTCGTTCATCTTTTTCACACTTCAACTTTGCGCAACAGGAACCCAGACCTCACTGCTTCAAAGGCATTCGCAGTTCAAATGTGTTCGAAAAACGACCTGATGTTCACATTGGATTGGGTTGGATACAACTTTATTGTCAAATGTGCTGTATGGATTTCTTCCCTTTCAATATAAAACAAGAGGAGCCGCTGCGGGTGTCCGCGCCACTATCAAAAGAATCATCATATCAAATTAATATTGGCTCATTTTCAATGGTCTCATTTCAAGGGTTATTTCAATCCGATTCGGGACTTTTCCGACCCATGGCGAAGATTCCTGCTTGTTGGTTTGAGCTTATACCACGAGAGGGCGCCCGAATCTCCAGAACGAGATTTTGCGGCCAGTCCATATTTAACACGATGCCCCCACCTTCGGCCAAACAAAAAAGATAGTATGTTTCCGGGAACATGAAATTTCAGCATAGTTGGTAGGTCGGACAAAGTTTTTTTTATTTTTAATTTTTTTTTTCCCATCAAAAATATAAACACAATAACCATAAAACAAAACAAGAAGACTGGTGTGTGTGAGTATGTGTGTGTGTGTTGTGTTTGATTAAGGTCAAAATGGTCATCATAGGGGGTTCCGGTTTGGGCAGTCATGGAGTAAGAAGCACGTCTGCAGAGCTCCTCGATCAATTCGAGCAACGCTGTACTTTATTAGTATTTTGACGAGTTATATTTGTATTTAAAGGCATTGACGAAATGCCTAAAGCAAATAAAAAGTGGGTTTCACTGATTGAAATTAGCCACTCGGACGGAGAGGATCTCGCCGCAAGTGACATCGACGGCCGGCACGAACCCGGGGAGCTACGGGCTAATGAGGCTACAGCTAACCTATCAACGATCCTGCAAGAATTAAGGGAATTCGTCATGAAAGCGCCGATACACTCACCGAAATCAAGGACGAAATTAAGACGACTGACAACAGAGTAGATGACGTCGAAACGAGGATTTCAGAGACGGAAGAAAGATTGCTGGGGCTGGAAGAAGCTACGAAGGAGCTGCTACAGCTACAAGCTAAAATGGAAAATAAGTTAACTGATCAAGAGGGACGAGCAAGACGGGACAATATAAGAATTTATGGTGTTGAGGAGGGGGCTGAGACCAACTCTGCAACGATGATAGTGTTTGTAGAACATCTCTTTAAAGAAAAGCTCGAGCTTTCTCCCTCCACCGATCTGAAGATTGAGCGGGCGCATCGCGCGCTAGGCCGTAAACCTCCCGTCGATCCCCCCCCCCCGAGGCCTATAATAGTAAAATTCGCCAGCTACAAGATTAAGGAGGTGGTCCTGCATAATCTTTGGTGCAAGAAGGGATTTCTGTACAAAGAGAAGAGAGTTTTTGTCGACCACGACTATGCACCAGAGACCCTGAGGAAACGCCGGGAATACGCAGAGGCGAAGAAGGTGCTGCGGGAGAAAGGGATACGATTTCAGACTCCGTTTCCAGCGAGGATGAGAGTATTCTACGAGGGTGCAACTTACGACTCAGCGCAGGAGGCCACTTCCGACATGCTGAAGAGGGGTTTTCCCGTGGCTGTATACAAACCTCCTATCACCTGGATTGACAGAATCAAGAACAGACTGTGGCATCGGTCTGCAAGCGGTGAGGAACAACAGCTGGATGCTCCACGTGAGGGTTTCAAGAAAAAACTGGACGCATACAGGAGAGTGGACAATGAAAACTGTTGAAGCCTGACAAGGTGACGAGATTTACCACTGTGGGACAACCAAGGCTTAGTTGAACTGAACAGTATTTGGATTTTTGTATGAATATGCTTGGGCATGGGTGTAAGCATGCGTGTGTGGGTGTATGCACGAACAGGTGTATGATTGAGTTTGTCGGGGTATGAATGGGCGTGTGGACAGTTTATGTATGACTACACAGGTTTGCATGTGAGTAAGTGTATTCGTAAGCACTACATGAACATGTGGAAAGGTATGTAGGGGAATAAGTATGCGTGAGTATGTGTGTGGGTGTATGTATATATTGTAGATGTGTGTGTATATGTGAAATGCAACTAGGTGTTTACGCCTTAGAGTATACGTGAGTCAATGAGTATCTATGCCTGTTCGTGTGTGTACTTACGTGTGCATGTATGTATACATAGACATGATCGAGGACGCTTGGACTCTTATGCACAAATGTGTCTGGGGGGGAGGGGGGGGGGACAACTAACGGAGGGCCCTCTACAAGGGAACTTTAGTGGAGGCTTCCCCTCCGAGCCAGCAGAAGATCCTGGCTCTTTTGGGGTCAAATTTGAGACCTCACAGCGGAGTGCTTACTTGGCAGAACTTTCGCAAGTTACTGAGTTTGTTTTTCTCAGAGTTTGTTCTATTATTGCTTTGTTTTTCTTCGTTAACATGTCAGAGTTTGAGTGGAAAATAGGTCGTTTAAGCCAGGGGTCCCCAACCTTTTTTGCCCCACGGACCGGTTTAAGTCAGACAATATTTTCAGGGACCGGCATTTAAGGTGTGGCGGATTAATACTGTAATGCCCTTCAATAACGGAGAGAAGGGTGCACGCAGTCGCTGATACAATTCGTCGATATTTAATAAACGAATAAGGCAGTAAACACACGCATTCAAAGGGGTTGCTGTTAGCCACAACTCACGCCCATGCGCTCTACACTCAGACTGACTACCGGAGCCAATATTCCCCCAACCTGGCTCCTCCCCTTTCTATGACATCACACCAATACAAGAAACAGATACTACACTACAACAAAATAATATGGTATGAGCTGCATGAAAACTGTGGTGTTTTCGAAATATAATAATAAACACAAGGAGCGTCTAATCTGGTCGCAACACTCTTATCGCTCTGGTAATGTTTAATGCCTTCAAAATACGATACAACGCAAATTCAAAGTGCATGAAAATGACGACTCACCACA